AAAGTAGTTTTGTAATCAAGATTTATTAGTGAATTAAGACCTCGTTAGAGAGAGGCGAAATCACCTTGGCGAATGGACTAGAGTAGTTTGAGTTCAAACGAACTAGGATAAAAATGAAAGTGTTCTTTCCATTGTATTTCGTTATTCCAATTCAACCCCTCCCCCCTTCTTGTGTTTTTCACTTCTTCAATTGGTATCAGAGCACTTGGATCTGGGTGCAAACACTTAATTTGTGTCAGAAAAAGATCCAAGGAGGAAAAATACTATGATGGGAACAAATTAGAACATCAGCAGCAACCCTTCAATATTTGACGGTGAAAATGTTGACTACTGGAAAGATATGATCAGAAGTTTCTTCCTAGCCTATTACGCTGACCTCTGGGATATGGTAACTGATGGATAAATACATCCTGTTGATGAAAGAGGTCTGAAGATTGACAGAAAAAGGTTGACAGATCATCAAAAGTAAGACTTCAGAAATCATCACAGGGCCAGAACTATTCTCCTGAGTGCCATCTCATATTCAGAGTATGAGAAGATCACAAACAGAGAGACAGAAAAGAACATGTTTGATTCTCTGAGAATGAAGCATGAAGGAAACACACAAGTAAAAGAAACCAAAGCCCTTGCGCTCATTCAGAAGTATGAAGCCTTCAAAATGGAAGAAGATGAAACCATTGAAACAATGTTCTCTAGATTTCAAATTCTGGTGGCTGGGCTAAAGGTGCTGGACAAATGGAACTCAACTGCTGATCATGTAAAGAAGATCATCAGAAGTTTTCCAAAGAAATAGAGGCCCATGGTCACTGCTCTCAAACTGGCAAAATATCTTAACAAGATATCTCTAGAAGAACTTGTCAGCTCACTCAGAAGCCATGAGATAGAGTTAGAAGATGATGAGCCTCAGAAGCAAGGTAAGTCTCTCGCTCTAAAATCTAATAAATATGAAACCAAATTTTTGCAGGAAAAAGCAGAAGCAGAAAACTCTAGAGAATCCTCATTAGAAGAAGACGAATTGTTCTTTCTATCCAAAAGAATCAATCAGCTGTGGAAGCACAAGCAGAAGAATTTCAGAAACTCCAAAAGAACAGGAAATGACTCTGAACAATCTTCTGGATACAGAAAATCCAGTAATAGAAACATTACCTGCTATGAATGCAATAAACAAGGTCACTTCAAAAGTGATTGTCCAAGGCTTCAGAAGGAGAAACCTAAAAGGAAGTTCGTTAAGGAGAAGAAGAAAAGTCTTATAGCAACGTGGGATGACTCTGAATCCTCTAAAGACGGAACAAAATCAGAAGATGAACAAGCAAATATAGCTCAAACGGACAACTTATCAGATGTCTCTGAATCCTCTGAATCTGAATCAGAATCAAACTCAGAGTCAGAAGAGGTATTTTCTAACTTTTCTAGATCTCAATTAGAGGAGAGTCTGTCATAAATTCTAGAAAGGTATCAGAAGCTTCAAGTCATAAACAAGAACTTGAAAAAGGATCTAGTTTCTGACTCTGAAGAAACTAAGAATCTAAGACTAGAAAACTCTAAGTTGAAAGAAAAAAATTTTAAACCTGAAAATGATTTACAAAATACTCAGAAGGAAATTGTCTCAAAAGTTCCTAGTAACCCTGATACAATCATAAAGGAATATGATCACAGCTTTCATAAATTCATCGCTAAAAACATAGATAGAAGCAAGATGGCTTCAATGATCTATGGAGTTAGCAGAAATTGTAGAATAGGTATATGATACAAAGGTAAAGTATCCCAACCTAAGAAAGTTAAGGATTTAGTTATCAAACGCACTCCTCTTTATTCTCACTTCACTACTGGGCAAACACATGATATAAAACATACTGGTAAGGCGTTTTATGTTAAACCAAAATTCAAATAGAATTTTAGAAACTCTAACAGTCATGGACCCAAAAAGATATGGGTACCAAAAGACAAAATCATCTATGTTGCAGATATTTTTAACAGCAAGGTTGAAACACCAGTATTAACACCTGGACTTTGGATGCTCTCTACACATGGAGGAAAGAAATCATATGTTCCAAAGCCTGGAATTTAAAAGATTCGCAGGTTTCAGAGGCAATCAGAAACAAAAGGTTATTGGCTCTGAAACTATTGGAAACATGAATGAAAATACAGCATCAGAAGCTCTTTAAAGAATCTCAGATGTATCTAGAAGAGGATGTCACACCTTTTCAAGCAACTTCTGTCAGAGTAAGCCAAATAGAGTATTTACCATTTTTTGATTCTTGACAAAAAGGGGGAGAATGCATAATATTTTGACTACTATCAGAAGCCATATCAGAAGATCTTCAGGGAAGTATTTTATTTTCTCGTTAGCTGAGTATTCTACTCAGGGGGCCTTTTAATTTTTGTTCTTTATATTCCATCAAAATATACAAGTTTTTGTCATCATCAAAAAGGGGAAGATTGTTAGAACATAATTTGGTTCTACATCCCAGTAAGAGTTTTTATAATAACAAACACATGATATAAAGACCATATATGCTTTCTAATAAAAGTATCTTTACATGCAGGAAGTTCTGATGTGAAAAAGATGTTCTGATGTAACTGGAAGTTCTGCCAGAACATTACTAGAAGTTCTGATTATGCGAGCATAGAAGTTAAGAGTACCATGATAGATTCAGACGCATCAAATCTGTGTGACACGTTTATATGAAGAAGTTATGTTACAACTTCTGAATACACCAGTGCTGTGAAACAGGATTTCTGATACTCTGATTTGCAAAGTTCTGATACAAGCTGTAAAGGACTCTCAACGGTAATATTCATCCTCTGATGTGAGAAGCTCTGAAGCGTTATAATTCCATCAATGCAATATCATAAGTAACAGCTACAAACAGACAAGGATTTCCTGGTTTGGAAAGTGAATTAACTCGTGTTATGGACATACCAAAAGTATCTTCTTATGTCACTATTGCATGGCCTATATAAAGCAAGCAAAAAGAAGATTTCAAATGATGAATCACTGCGCACAAAAAGAAGAAATTACGTGAAGCTACAACAATGCAGCAATCTCTTTCATCCTTAAACACTCATACTTAAACTGTGTAAAACATCACTGTTAGTGATACTATTTTAGTAGAAACACCATTGTACACTTTTATTCAATTATCTATTTAGACATTTCCTTGAGAAAATCGAGTTATGGTTTTGGACTCAAGAAGACTTTGACAGTAGTCAAAGTAGTTTTGTAATCAAGATTGATTAGTGAATTAAGACCTCGTTGGAGAGAGGCGAAATCACCTTGGCGGGAGGACTGAAGTAGTTTGAGTTCAAATGAACTAAGATAAAAATCAAAGTGTTCTTTCCATTATATTTCGTGATTCCAATTCAACCCCCCTTTCTTGTGTTTTTCACTTCTTCAGTTGTTAATCACAAGTGTAAGAAAACTTGGTCTTTGTGTTAACTAGGTTGAAGAAAATATTAGGTGTTTGTAGTGAGAAGTACATATATTGGGGGGTAACGTCACATTGTTGAATTATGTTCTTAATAATATTCCAATTTTCATGCTTTCTTTCTACAAAGCTCCGAATTTCATTCTTGAGGAAATTGTCAAGGTTCAATGGGACTTTTTGTAGGGAAAAGGGGGAAGGGAGACAAACAAAATTTTGGGTTAGTTGGGAGAGGATTTGTCGCACGGTGAAGAATGGCGGTTTAGGTGTCAAGAATATTGAAACTTTTAATTATTCTTTGATTAGTAAGTGGGGGTGGAGATTTTTGTCAAAGAAGGAGGTCGTGTGGTCTAAACTCATTTATTTTGGGTATGGTGGGGTTTGGAGGCTTTGTGTGGGGAAGATTCCAATAGGATTTTGTTGAAACACTCTCTTTGGTGGAGGGATGTGTGGACGGTGTGTGTTTCATAGTTCATGGCGATTCATGATTTTTTAATAGCATTTCTTGTAAATTGGAGAATGTTGAGTCATTTTGCTTTTGTGATTATTATTGGTTGGGTTCAACTTCTTTTAGAGAATTTTTTCTCTTGTGTATGGTGTGTGTTCTACTTCTCCTTTTAGTGTGGTGAATATGGGCTTGTGGGTGGATAATTGTTGGAGGTAGGATTTAGGGGTTGATGAGAATGCTCTTGTGGGAGAGGTTGGTGATGAATGGTCGGAGTTGGTGATGATTCTTTTTAGGGATGTTAGACTGCATTAGGATGTCATTGATAAAGTTGTTTGGTGGAGGAATATGGAGGGTTTTTCCAGTGAAGAATAGTTATAGCCGATTATATGTTATGAAGTACTTGATTGCAGAGTTGGATAAAGAGAAGTTATTTGAGTTGAAACGGATTTGGGTAGCAAGTGTGCCTAGAAAGGTGTAGTTGTTTGGTTAGAGGCTTTTATTAAATGATTTACTTATGTAAAATAAGCTTTGTAATAGAGGCATAGAGTATGTTTTGAGTGATTGTTTGTGTTCTTTATGTGGTGTGGAGGAAGAATCTATAGGTCATTCTTTTTTTGTGTCCCAAAGTCAAGAAAATTTGGAAGGAGGTTTTAGGTTGGTTGGGTGTGGTCTCTTCGGCGGGTTCGGTGGCAAGGGGACGTGGGGGCTGCTTCGGGTTTTCGTTTTTTTGGAGTTTCTCTTGAAAAAATTGGTTAGTGTGTTAGTGTGTGTGGATTAGTAGGAATAATATGGTGTTCAATAATTATGTTTGAGATATTGTTGAAATCTTACTTTTCATTAAATTGTTAGGTTGGTACTGGATTTCTATTCTTTCTAAGGGTTGTGGAGAGTGTGTTAAGGATATGAAGAAAATAAAATTTGGCTAGTGAATGTCTTTTTGAATCTCGGAATTAGATTAGTGAATTGTTCATTCTATAGATCGGAATTGATTGACTAAATCTAAAAAAAAATATCATTTTTATTATATAATCGGAAGAAATAGTACACACTTTTTCTTGATTACCATCTCTTCTATTTAGATATCAAAATCATATCATTTGATCGTATTTATTTCAAATAAAAATAAACTAACGTTTATAGGTACAAGAACAATAGTTGACACCATATCTATTCACACAGCTCCCACTGCCTGTGCTAGGATATTTGCTAGTGCACTTTTTTTTGCAACAATCATTACCACAATCACTTGTGCAAAGTCCAAGACCAATATCACATTTAGGTTCTCCTTTTGCTGGCTCTTCGAATGTACAAGTGCATAAATTGTTGAAGCTACAATCATGTCCTAAAACTTTAGATCCTGCTGCAAAGACGTTACACACAAAAGAACAACCTTCACAAGGACCCACAACATTTGTGCATTCACCACCTTCTACCTGAATCCATTGTACTATATGATAATGCAAAGTAAAAAACTGATGAGATGAGATTTTATATTTATAATTTAACAATCATGATGATAATGATTTATTTAAAAAGACTAATATAATATATAATATAGTATTAATAATACATCTACAAAGATAAAGCAAAAGATACTAGATATACCAAATTATCTCAAAAAACTATCAAAATCAGAAGGGAAAAAACATCATAATACTACAACGAAATAGTAGAGAGGGTTATTACCTGCTACAATTAGAACCAAAATGAAAAAGAAATAGAATGGTGTGTGCATTTGGTTCTTCATTGTGAAATATAAAATAATACAGTTATTCTTTACAACTTTAGGTTGGCTTGTTATTTGGTTGTAAAGTTGTGTATTTATACTGTTTTTAAATTAGGTTAAATGAAGAAAAATTGACATGAAAATAATAAAATATAAAATAAAAGGAAAAAAATTATACAATATAAAATGGTCAAATTTAAATAAGAAAAGGCTTATACAATAGGAAATGGTTAAATATAAAAGAAAAAGGGAAAATGGCTTATAAATTAGAAAATGGTAAAATGGATATTAATCCCCAAACAATGGAAGCTAAATGAATGGGATATTTTACCATCTCATTTAAGTGTTCTAGATCTATGTGATTAAAATTTAATGTTTTTATAGTAATATATATATATATATATATATATATATATATATATATATATATATATATATATATATATATATATATATATATATATATATATATATATATATATAAATTAATATCTATCGTGAGAAATAAAAATTATATATATATATATATAAATTAATATCTATCGTGAGAAATAAAAATTATCATGAATTTTTGTTTATTATAGTCAACATTTAAAAATTTCATAAAAAGAAAGATTATTTCCAAAAAATATTTTATATTTTCTATAATAATTAGAATATTATCACAATAGTATAATTATTTTAAATTATCAAAATAGTAGAATTTGCAAAAGATTAAAAATTATCATATTTGTAAATAAATAAATCAACCAAATTAAAATGTAGCTATTAATTTCACATTCTTATTATGCTTAATATTTAAAAAACTCCATAAAAAATAATTTTTCTAGAAATATTTATATATTTGCTATAATCATTAGAATATTATCACAATAATAAAATCTTTTCAAAAAAAATTATATCTAATGTTTAAATATTATCACAATATTTTTCTACTCTCACTATTATTCTGACTTTATTGATTATAATTTGATCTAAAATCCATTTTGATCGGAAAAAATAACTTTATTTATAATATGTTTATTTTATACATCAGAGTTGATGTAGTCTTTAATTTTGAATAATACTATGAACATAGTCTTTAATTTATACTTTAGAATTTATATAATTTTATTCCTTATATAATTATAAATATAACACATTATGTTGTATTACCTATATTTTTATTTGATTAAAAATATTGAAGAAAGTGAAATTGTTATTTATATTATAATTTGTTTAATTTATTTATTTGTAATTACAGAAATTAAACTTTTTATTTTTTAAAAGTTTTACAATTGTAATTACTTTAAATTAAAAAAAACACATTATTGATTTATCACCTATATTTTTATTTAATTAAAAATATTGAAAAATATGAAATTATTACTTATATTTTTATTTTGGTTAATTTATTTATTTCTAAGTTCGATAATTTTTTTATTTTTGCAAATTTTAATATTATGACCATTTAAAATAAATTTTACTAATGTGATACTATTCTAATCTGATTTTGAGTGCTTTCATGATTTTTCATTATTTGAGATTCAGAGGGGCGTTTTATACATTTCCGACTGAGACAAATGGATTATCCACTATTTAGCCAAGTTTTGATGAGAAATTAGGGTACTTTTTTTTAGAGAGAACGGATTTCAGAGTCTAAGAGTGGGGATATGAGATTCTTGAAGAACGGAGATCTTTCATGAGCGGACGCGATTGAAGACCAAAGTTCCTTCATTATTTGTAATGTCTAATTCTTATATTTTTGTAATTCTCGTGCACAATATGAACGATTAAATCCTTCAATACTAGGGAGTGTCCCTGATTTGACTCTGAAAACAATTTTGATTCATGAATTTCTTTAATACAATGGTCTTCTCTATTCAATTTATTTGTATAGTGTTTTTATGCTTTCCGGATCGGATAATTTAAGATTGATTTACAGTTAACAATCAGCTGGACCGCGGTTGTTAAGGTTTTTGTACAATTAAGCTATAGTAGATATCACCTAGGACTAGGGATACCCTATAGTTACCAGATAACTCTTGATAAAACAAAGGTTTGACTCCATTAGAAATCTCCAAGGACTTAGGATTTAGGATGAAGGCTCAAAGGTTTTTCTACTATGAACTTAGAGGAAGATAATCTGAAAGGCTGGTAATTGAAGGATATGAACTTGTTGAAGAGATTAGAATTCAAGGTAGTTACAGGAAAAATTATACACATTACCCTAGCATGCTTCTCATATCTGTGAAAAAACCATTTTATATTTCTGCTACTTCTTAAGTGACAATTTCAAAACCAAAAATCATATCAAGTTTTGTTTAATTGAACTACGAATTTAACTCGATAATTGCACGCAGTCCTTGAGATCGACATTCGGGGAATTTCTCTATTATTACAAGAGGTAAAAATAATACACTTGTTATTTTTCCCATCAGTATCAGAGCAGGCATCCTGTTTTATTTTTGGGTGAGATCCTAGGATGACACTTTCTGATTTGGCAAGGAAGGAGGTTGTTACTGAAAAATTGTTTGAACGTGGTCAATTCATATTGTTGTTTAAATGGTCCCTTTAAGTGAAGGATGGACTATTTGTGACAGGTTGAGATGTGGTCTTGTCTGAAGGTGTAAGACATGGTAGTTGGAAGCGGGCTCATGTGCTTCTGTTTTGTTGGTTTGATTTATTTTCAAACCTATGTTGGGTTGTTGTCACCTGATTTATGGTGCTTATGTTCAAGGATGACTAAGCCATGCCTGAAGGTTGTTAAGGAGTTTTCTAATTTTTTTATTTCTGTTGCATTTATATCTAATGGAAAACTCCTGGTGTTTGGTGAGTTCCTTGGAAAGATATTCTACATGATGTTGGAACATCCTATCAGCGAGGTATGCAGAATCCTGATGCACTAAGGGTTGGCATATCTGATGTTTTGGGTGATAAACAAATGTGTGGTGATCACATATGTTTGGAACCTACTCCTGACCTGGAAGAGGAGGCATCTATGCTATGTGTCTAAGAGGTTTCATCCTAGATATAAGTCTTTGAAAAGTATGTTTGGTCAAGACATGATCAACATATTGATTACTTCTTGGATTAGTTTATTTCTGATCTAAGAATGTAGGAGTGCAACGGTTAAGCTTGCGGATTTCTTTGGAGACTTGTTAAAAACATCTCAAGAAGATTCTTCATGTCCAATCTAAATATCGAGGACATTATATCTGACATCTGGTAGGTTCCATTGACCAAAGGAACCAAATTTGTGTGTATGAGTCAGAGAAAGGGACTTGAAGCAACAGTTGTTCAAGTTACCTAGCTGGTGTTTATTCTTATAAATAGAATGGAGGTTGTTTACTTAAACTTGATATAACTATAAAGTCTATGAGAGCATGGAACTCTTGTTCTGTTACAAGAAGAAAATTTATCAAAAGAGGGATAATGTATGGAGATGTATCAACCTAAGTTCAGTGGTTGGTGGGTGTCTCCACTATTGGAGTATCATCCAAACATTTTTGGATGAGCTTTCAGTTGATTTTTTCTTGAGTAATGTCGAGTTGGTTGATCATGCCTTATTGGAGCAAGGTGTGTTTACCAAGGAAAGTGCTCTTCAATCTTAGGTCCAATAATGTAGTGTCCCTACATGATGGAACACTTGATTATGCACAAGGGCTAAAAGTGCATCATTGAGCCTTAGAGTATTAGAAGAAGCAGACGTGTTTGTGGTATGATGTTGGTTCTATACCTTGTTTGTTGTAGTCTGATGAATTAGATGTTATAAGGAATCTCCTCTTTAGGTGTAGAATGTTGGCATCTGACACCTTAAAGTCAGGCACAAGGTATGGTCTTGGAGCTTCTTAAGGTGTGTATCATGCAAGTTACTGCGTGTGTTTATGGTCTGATCTGGAAGGGTGATCAACTGTTGTTGTGTACTCTTGTGTCCCCTACAAGAGTTGTGCATTGATTACTATGGATGTTCCCTCCAAAACCAGAGTAAATGTTAAATTCGTGTGTTTGAGATTGATGTCAGATCTGATGTTATAACACCATCTCAAATGTGTTGCTTCTTCAGCCAAGGAAGTCAGTTTTGCTCATGGTGAAGTATAAGGTCAAGTCACTGACCTAATTTGAAGTAGTGTGTGGTGTAAATGGCTATCATGACTGTGTGTCATGAAGATGAACCAGCTGGTGCTAGATGCATGCAAAAGAAAGAGGTCATACCAAATGTCCTACCTTGTGTGATAAGGTAGCCTTATCCGAATAATGGTAAATACTTTGATGGGAGCTAAGTATTTGTCTATCCTCTGATGAGGTTGTGCAGCTAACTGATGATAAATACTCTAACAGGAGCCAAGTATGTATCTGTTATGAGTATGAAATCTGAATTCTTCGCTTTAAAAAAGGCGTGAGAGTTTGTTGCTCACCATGATATTCAGAAGTGGCATGTTTTCATCATGATGGAGTGTAAAGTTGAGTAACTGGCCAAATCTTGTATAGTCTGTGGTGTGGATATCATTCATGTCTTCCTGTTATGATGAAGAATCCACTTTTGCTTTTGTTGCTCAACCATTTTTGAGAAGGAAGTTCTATCTGCAGTGTGTACCTCTAAAAGAGGTAGCGAAGGAAGGAATGTAAAGAAATATTTCTTTTGATGAGTTGGTGCATTTGACTGATTGCAAACCTTGATGGGAGCTGGGTGTTTGTCTAATGTGTTGATGCAAAATTGAAGTCTGGACAAAGGTTGCATGGTCTCATGCAACTTGTGCTAGTCTACCTCTGATGATTTTATTGTGTCAAGCAAAAATGTCTTGACGTTGGGTTCAATTCAATTTCTGAACCTGGCTGAAGATAGTATAGGCTTGGAATTCAGTGGGAAATGTTGGATTTTGGAGCATTGTGATTATGCATATGATCTATGTTCTACAGTGTGTCAGAGTTGTCCTTGTGTCTTGGGAATGTCTTTAGAAATTGTGTTGGTTGTTTTCTGAGAGAATTTATTTCTCCATAGAAGTTTTAGTGGTCAAGAGGGAGTTCTA